ACGTTAAAGTGTTACATAAACAAATAAACACAAATTTAAAAAAAAAAATTTTTTTGAATCATGACTTTCGGAATGATATTAGTTTTTTTATAATTGAAATTAACTATCGTAAATATTTGATTTATTCTATAATTATATAATTCATTCTTTCACATAATAATTATATATCTATTTTAGTTAATTACATTTACGATTTATTTAATTAAGCTAGCAAATAAAAATATGAGGTAAAGCAAAGCAAGCAGAATAGTTAATGAATATAATTGATTATTTATTATCGAATGTATTTTGATCATTGATACTCCATATAAATCTAGAACAGGACAAATAAGAAATCGAAATTTTTATAATTCAAATAGATTAATACCGATAAAAACCACCAGCAAGACTTGCACCAAACAATGGTCCTATCCAATAGATATAATGATGCGACCAAACATTAGCAAATATAGCTGGCCCTAAACTACGAGCTGGATTAAGTGAACCACCGGTTAATTTATTTCTATGTATATGAAAATTTTATAAACAAAAATAATTAGTTTAAAATATATTTACGATGCAAAAATACAAACACATAAAGCAATACCATTATAAATAGATGCAATATTACTTTTAGATTTATGATTAATTGAAACCATAAGAATTACAGTAACAAAAATAAATGTTAGTAATAATTCAATACATACACCTATTTTTAAATAAATAAATTATAAAATTTCTTTGAAAATCTCTTCTCACCTTCCCACCAATTAATACGATCTGTAATAATTCCACCCATTTCTTTTGGAGTTTGAATTGTGACAAGAAAAGTTGCACCACCACGACAACGTTGATATGTAGTTGTATGTGAGAGAAGCTATAACAAAAAAAATACAGTTGAAAAACAAATTTCGAAATAATAACACACGAACTCGGAATATACCAGCAGCCATAGACCCACCAATCAATTGCATAAGTATATAAAGCAAACCTTTCTTTAAATCGATTGCACCTGAAATGAGTACACCAACTGTTACAGCTGGATTAAAATGACCACCACTATAAAATTCAATTAAATTAAATTGCATACATCATAGAAAATAGATAAAACCTCATATGACCAAAACTAGCAATAAGAATCATTAATGAAAACCCGAATGAAAAGCCAGCTGTTAATGAACTATTCTTATTATCACCATTACAAGCACCAAATAATCCAATTAAAATAAAAAATGTAGTACCGATCTAATGGTTTTAAAATAACTAATAATCTTATTTCTCTTTTCAATTACTTACTAATTCTGCAATTATCGGTTGAACAATATTATTAAATATATTTGTTTTATTTTCGTTCTCATTTGTTATTCTTTTAAATGAAATAAATCTACATATGCATCATTTATTATCATTTCTACTTCTCATACTTGGGTACAACAATAGATTTTCCTTTAGATATCGATTCTTCTTCTAGATTAAAACAAGCAGGTGTAGATGAATTGAGTGTCATTGAATAAGATTGTTCTCAGTTATGAGAAACGAAATCTTATATACTGTTTTTCTTGACGAACTGATTTCTTGATAACGACAAAATGACAATCAGTAATTGATTTGTTTTTATTCTCATTCAAGCAAAATATCGATTAACATTATATTCAAATACAAATATACATAGTTATTCAGATGATGACTCTAGATCATTGTATAGATGTTATGTTCTATATTTGTTTCATAACTACTACAGTTAGAAATAAAATAAGAGGCATATATTGACATAATAAAAAAAATATGGGATTCTAATTAACAGACGAATCTTCCAGATGTATGTTTTCAAATGCGAAACTTAAATTTGTATTAAAAGCAGATATTTATAGTATAAATTGCACATTGTTTCTAAATTAGTACAGTTTTTTTTATCTGTAATTAATTCACTTAAGTGAATACAGGAATGGGTTTTTTTTCAAACCTGTATATCTCTTATTTTATTAATTAAAAAAGAACTATCGCTTGTTAGACATGTGTTTTTGATTATATACAAAATATGAAAAATAGAGGTGACATAAAAGAAACTTGTTTTCTTTTATTTTATATTACATATATATTAGAAAAAGAAAATAAGAATAGTAACAAGCAAAAGTGATTCTTTCGACTTCGAACTAATATTTATTAATAATGTATTGGTATTTGTTTCATCCTCGTTTTACTCTTTTGTTATTTATTATAATATTATCAGCATACATAAACAATGGTAAGTAAGATAAGATTAACGTCAGTAGCGGATCAAACAAGTTGATATATTTATATAAATACATGTATCATTTTTTTTCTCTCATCTATTGTAGCTGATCAGTCAACAAATACAACTACGATTGTTGCAAGTAAGAAAAATCATTATCTTTAATAGAACGTTTCTAAAAAAATAATTTTTTTTAACTAGCTACTACACCATCTTCTACAACTACGGGAAATATGACAGTAAATGCAACAAACCTTACAACAAATCTTACAACAACAATGCAGAATGCAACTACTTCTAATGCTACGAACAGTGAGTTTCATCTATATTAAACATATCATATCGAAATTTTGATGCAAACCTTTAATATGTATGTTTATTGATTTATGAAAATAAGTTATTAAACTGAGTATATATTTCATTGTCATTCAAAAATGAGAGAAAACCGGTTTACGGCTTAGTTTTTACTGTTCATTTTGATTTTCTAAACTTATGTAGTGTACTTTTAAATTGAAGTATATCGAAGGTACTGTCATGAAATCGTTTTAATTAATTGATATTATTTAGCTGTCAATACTTTGGCTATGGTCAGTAATAGTATTAAAAATCTTTTCAATTATTCTAATAATGCAACAAGACTAGCTGCTTCATCTGATGCAGCGTCTATGGATGATGCCATCGATAATGCTGAAGATCTTCTTACTGAACTTACAATGTCAACATCTGTTTCACCTAGTGAAATTCAAAAGCTAACCGAATTAATAAATTTCGCAAAAGCTTTCCAGGCACTGGGACCATATTTTACAGATTTTTCAATGAATGACTTACCCGTATCAAATTACAATATGACAGATCTTCAGAATACTAATTCAACTATCAATGCACTCAATATTACTAATCCTAGTTACAAACAAATACTTGATAATTTACTAACAAGAATAGCTGATGCTTATCAAAGTAATGTATTTTTCTCGATTGAATTGATTTTAATTGCCCTTCATCGATAAATAGAACAAAACGGATTTATTTAAGAAAGCATAAATCTTGAGGGTTTGGGCGTGTAATAACGAACAAACAAATCCAGGCACCCTAGAAAAGGTATAGATTCGAGAGAATGTTAATGTAGTACGCCTGTAGATCAATTATCCTGCATATATTCTATTAGACGAAATAGTTTTTCTACAAGAAACTTCTGCTACTTTAAGCGGCAAATTATGTAAGAAAACATTTTAGATTCTGCCGGAGATTGTCCATATTGCAATAACAAATCAAGTTCAGACGGATTTCAGACGATATCAAAACAAAATATTAGTGATCCACCTACTATTATTAATGGTACTATAGCATCTTACGCATCTTACAATGTCAGTATTCGTCAAAATGGTACAATAGGTAAAGGTCGATATACATTATGTGGTGTACCAAGCTCAAATGCTACTTTTGTTACATGTATATATTACAATCAGAATAAAACGAAAATTAAACGATTCAGATTATTACAAAAACCGTGGTCCTGTAATGTAACTGATGATATTATACCATATGTAGACAAATTAGAAATGCGTGTTTTTGGTGTAAATTCAACTCTAAATGATAGTCATGTTGATTTTTGTGGTGTTTTTGTATCACCAAGCAAAAGAGGATATACTGTATCACCTTACTTCTTACAAAACGATACAGCTGATAACTATAATAATGTTGATCAACAATCTAGTATGTTTATTTATCTTTATTTTTTACGAGCTCTTCTATTGAATATTGCCGTATTTTAAAGATACACTAAATGATCCATCACCTGCCAGTGAAACTGAATATATGTCAGGACAGGGCAATGGTAAAATCTTCATGTAAATGACTAAAATTAAAATCTATTTTTATCACATAGATGCCGCTCAGATGAATCCATCATCGATTTCATCATGCGATCAGACAGCACCGTTAATTATTATGAGTAATTCACCTAATCTCTTGGTACAAAATAATACATGGCAGATCGATGTTGATCAAACACATAGCTCACCAGTACTTATTGATTCGGTTCGAATGATAATTCCAGGACAACCTCTTACTCAACCTGTTCTTTTAAAATTAATCGATGCCAATCAACAAGAAATTGGCTCATACGAATCTCAAATAGATAGAGATAAGACTTTAATTTTTCCAAACATTCCATCAGTACCTGTTTCAAATGTTCAGCTTCAGTTTCCTGACGGTACTCAATCAGACAGCTATACGGCATATATTTTGACCTGTTCACAGACCAATGATTTACCATCACCAAGTATGTCATTATTCTTCCAATTGTTCCTCTTATTTATTAATATTTCTAGATGACGTCTCAGGAGATCAATCGTCGATGCCATCGGATTCATCCTCAGTTGAAAATAATCCTGATAGCGAACCAACAGACACCAGTGACACAGCGTCTCAAGATCAGTCTGAACAAGCACCACGTAAGACATTCGATAAATTTCTACTTTTTCAATATAAGAAATGCAGGAATAGATAAGATTTCATTGTTCGCTGAAGTATCCGCGATTATTTTTATTCTTCATAGGCATTTTTACATAACTTAATGCATCATCGAGATTACTTACCAGTTACGCTTTCGAAAGCCAAATTGGTTTTGTAAATAAGATAAAAAAGTTTTCCTCAAGTTCACTTTATTGAAATGAATACAATATATATGATTATTTTC